TCGGTTGGGGTTGCTCTGTCTGAAGCACAGAGGTGCATCACGATGAAACTCGAAGGTGCTTGGCACCGAGCCCCATGCCGTGGCAGGACGGCCAACGGACGGGTTCTACGCATTTTCACCCATTCCATCAGACGCAAACAAACCTAGACGGCTCTGATGAGGACTGAGAGCAGAAAAAAGTTGCAGAACACAAGCAGCAGCTCCATCCAGGCATCACACAACGCGGCAAACGGCTCACCATCAGAAGATCCCAAACCGGGACGCACCTCACAAGGGAGCAACCCTCCTCCCAAACCACCCACACACACACAATGCGCCCGCACCACCACCTCCCCACCCTCCTCCTCCTCCTCCTCGCCCCCCTCCACCCCTCCCTCGCCCTCGAAGACCTCCCCGCCGGCGTCGACATCACCGAAGACACGCCTGGGCAAGTGACCATCAACGGCGACCCGACGGGCAACAACACCCTCGGCCCGTCCCTCCCCATCTCCGCGACCATCTTCTCCGGCGTGCCAGGCCCGTCCGCCTGCCGGGGGACCGTCATCTTCCAGCTCAACCCACCTCAACCGGCCGCGGGGGCCGGCCCGACGGGAGAAGACTGCTACGACCTGCCCCGCGCGGCGGGGTGTGGGAACTTTCTGGCGAGTAAAGAGGCCGGGTGTGAGGCGAGGCTATTTGCGGAGAGGGGGTGCAGGATGTATGTGAATACGGCTGTGTTTATACCAGAGGAGCGGGCGGTTGGGGGAGTGTGGCGGAGTGTCGGGGTGCGGTGTGGAGTGCCGGCGCCGGACCCGGAGAGTCTGGGGCCGCCACCGCTGGCGGGATTGATGAGGAATGCGGGAAAGAGGCCGGGTTAAGGAGGGAGAGTGGGTGGCGGGATTGTGGCCGGGTTGGTGCGGGTTGTTGAGGGCTCCACTGGCGGGAAAGGGAAAGGGGGAGGCGGTGCTGGAGGTTGGTAGTGGTTTGGGTGTGGATTGTTAGCAGCGCGCATGAATATTACCTACAAGTTGACTGTTTGACATTTTTCTGTGGCGAGTCGTGTTCTCGGCAGCTGGTGGAATCGAGAAATGTGCTGCTGCGCTTGGCGGAGCAGGGCGAGCTGTCATGGGATCAGCTGTTGGAGAGTCAGCGACGACAACCAGCCCGAGATCACTGGGTTCAGCATCACTGCATCGGTCTGTATGGTGGTAGTTGCAACACCAGACGAAAGGCATGGGCGAGTCCCGACCAGCTTTAACTCTCCACTGCAGTCCGAACCGTTGATCTCCAAAGTGGGTTGTGCCCGATGGGGCTCAACTGAAGCGAGATTGTGATGCCGACCGGGAATGCTTGTGCAGCGCTGCACTCTAAATTTTGTGCTCCCCTTCTGGCTCTACACTCTAAATTCCCAGGTGTGGGGAGCCTTGTGTCCTGTCCTAGCCTGTGATTCCGTGTTCTGTGTGCTCGAGATCCATTCCATCTCGAGCGGCCCGTTGGCCCATCTCCCGCTTCCAATCTCGTCTTCCAGAAACAGCCTGCCCGATGCTGCACTGGCGCGCCATGGTCGTCCCATCGGCCATCAGCAACCTCCAGCAGCAACAGTTCGGATCCTCGTGGCAGTGGACACGGATTCACACCCCCCTTGCCCCCCTCCCGCCTGACGAAAGCGAAACCGAGCTTTGGGGAGACGGTGGTGGACACCATTGGCTGCGGCGAGCCTGGGTTCCAGATCGGGCTGCGCCAAACGAAATTTGGGGTCGGTAGCCCCAGGCTGGAGCGCCGATGGGCTTCTCTGATTGGCGTGCAGTGCGATGGGTTGGGTGAAATGCGGGTAAAAATTTCTGAAAGAAGGGGTCTTGACCCCGCCATAAATCCGGGCTCCATCCGTCCCGGGACCACTTGTGCAGGCCATGCGCAAATTGTGCAGCTGCCTCTGCAGGAAAGGAAGGGCGATGACGGGGGAGGGAGGTCAGCGCGGGTGTGTTCCGCGTGCCGTATTCCCGGCTACCGTCCTGGGTGGTGTGGTGAGCCCGCGACAATGTACCAAGTATTCATGGCCAGATGAGCCAACACCAGCCAGCGACGCGGGCATCATCGAGACAGCTCCAGGCGCGTGGCATCATTGTCTCCGGACCACGGCCCATGTGCCCGCCGGGTCTTGTCTTGGAGTCCGGCCTTGGCTACGGGTGGCGCCGCCGAACCCACCACCGCGCCAGCGAGGAACCTCCCTTGTCGTCAGGTACCGCCAAGCCCGAGGGATTGGACCTTCGATCCACCGGAGCATGGTTGGCCCCGGGCAGTCGGGGCGTTGGCGGTCCCGTCGAAGGCGTCTAGGGGGGTGAGCGGACAGGGCACGCACGAATAAAAGACCACACCATGCCGCACCTGGTGTGTGTGTCTGTCTTCTGCCGTCAACCACAAGAAACACCCCCAGCCAGCTCCCCAGCAACTGGCGACAACGTTAACAACGACACCAACGACGACGCGACCAGCTGTCCACAGTCATGGTTGACGCCTCATCATCACAGGCTGCACTGGCCGAAAAGCCCAAGCGCTCCGACCTGGACCTCGAGAAGGGCACCTACGAGCCCAACTCTGACTTCGACACCGCGACCATCGTGCCCGAGTCGGAGCCGCCGACGAGAGATGGCCCGGCCGGCGAGAAGGGAACGGCGGCGGGCAGGTCCTCCGTCGAGGGCGCCACCGAAGACGAGGACAGGGACCCCAACATCGTGACGTGGGACGGCCCCGACGATCCCACAAACCCCATGAACTGGACCATGCGCAAGAAGTGGAGCAACATTGCCGTGCTCTCCATCCTGACCATCATTACGTGAGTTGATTCGGCCCAGGACGTCCCCGGCGGCCGATCCAAGACTGACCACACTCTAGACCTCTCGGCTCGTCCATGTTTGCTCCCGGTATCCCCAGAATCTTGGCCGAATTCCACGAGACGTCCTCCGTCACGGCCACCTTTATCCTGTCCGTCTACATCCTGGGTTTCGCCTTTGGCCCCTTGCTCGTGGCCCCTATGAGCGAGCTCTACGGCCGCTCCCTGCTCTACAACATCGGCAACGTCCTCTTCACCATCTTCAGTGTCTGCACCGCCCTGAGCAAGAACATCGGCATGATGATGGCCTTCCGCTTCCTCATGGGCGTCGCCGGCTGCGTCCCCATCACCATCGGTTCCGGCTCCATCGCCGACATGATGCCCGTCGAGATGCGCGGGCGGGCCATGGCCGCCTGGGCCCTCGGCCCCCTGCTCGGCCCCTGCATCGGCCCCGTCGCCGGCGGCTACCTGATCCGCGCCGCCGGCTGGCGTTGGGTCTACTGGCTGATCGCCATCCTCGCCGGCGTCATCTCCGTCTTTACCTTCTTCACTCTCAAGGAGTCGTATGCCCCCATCATCCTGGAGCGCAAGGCCGCTCGTCTGCGCAAGGAGACGGGCAACCAGGAGCTGCGCAGCGCCCTCGCCAAGTCGGCCGCGAGTCCCGCCGAGGCCTTCAAGGCCGCCATCGTCCGGCCCATCCGCCTGCTGGTCTTTGCTCCCATCATCACGTCGATGTCGTTCTACGTTGCCGTCACCTATGGCATCCTCTACCTCCTCTTCTCAACCTTTTCTCTGGTCTTCCCCCGCCACTACGGCTTCGGTGAGGGCGAGAGGTATGTTATTTTTTGTTTTCATCAGTCAACTTCAAGCCTGGCACGAGACTAACCTCGCAAACAGCGGCCTCGTCTTCATTCCCTCGGCCATCGGTATGGCTCTTGGCATCGGCGTCTTCGGCACCCTCTCGGACAAGCTGGTCACCCGCAACCTCAACAGCGGCGCCGTCCACCGTCCGGAGATCCGCCTGACTCCGTATTTTACCCTGCCTGCCGGTCTCGCCCTCCCTGTCGGCCTTTTCATCTATGGCTGGACGATCCAGTACCATGTACACTGGATCGTGCCCATGCTCGGCGTCGTCATCTTTGCCTTTGGCCTGATGGGTGTCATGGTACATCTCCCCGTTACCACCAAGACCAAACTCCAGTTACTGACACCGCCCCCAACAGATGTGCGTCCAAAACTACCTCCTCGACGTTTATCCCTCCGCTGCCGCCTCCGTCACGGCCGCCATGACCGTCCTCCGTTCGCTCGCTGGCGCCCTCCTCCCGCTGTGCGCCATCGACATGTACAACGCCCTCGACATGGGCTGGGGCAACTCGCTCCTCGCCTTCATTTCCCTCGGCCTCATCCCCATCCCACTGCTTTTCTACCTGTTTGGTGCGCGTCTGGTCAGGAAGTTCGCTATTGAGCTCTAACCACTCTCTCCTGCTTTTTTTTGTGTGTGTCTGTTATTTATATCCTCTCGACGCATTGTCAGCCGGAGTTTGTGGGTTTTTGGGACGAATTCTTGCATATAGAGATACCAGAGCTAGAGATTCTTGTAATTGTATTAGAGTTGGTGTGGCATATCATAGCGAGATGGACGGTCTCGTCAACTACATCCGCCTGGGAACAGTGTCTTGGTGTGTGGTGCTTGGTGGATTGCTGCGGGGCTGTCCATCCCACTTGTTGCTGCAACTCCCCAACCCAAGCGAGCAGAAGCCTGGAGCAATAACTCGAGCTCCCAAAGGCATATATATATTTGTACCGTCTCTAGCCTTCAGTCTGCGAATGTCCGCCACTGCCTGCATTGCATACGGAACTGGTATTCCGGGGCAATTCGCTTTTGAGATATGGAGGGCATGGATCACAACGAGACTCCACATGAGATCCAGAGGCCCTCGACACCCATGCTTGCTTCTCTGCTGGTTTCATTGTTTAGCCAGGACCACATCCCACAGGTACTGTTGGGTGAAGCAAACCGGGAACTTGAGAGTCAGCCACCTCGAAAAGTGCATCCAGGGAAAGCCCCCCAAAATACGACGATCCGAACCAGCTTCAAAAGAAGGAGTTCGGAACCACTAAGGTATAAGCGATTGGCTGTCTGAACCGGCTTCAAAAGAAGGAGTTCGGAATCGCTGAGGTATAAGCGATTGGCTGTCTGGCGCAATGGTAGCGTGTGAGCCTCCTAAGCTTAAGCTTGTAAGCTCAAGGTTGTAAGCTCAAGGTTGTGGGTTCGAGTCCCACGATAGTCGACGGATTTTTTGTGTTTGAACTCACACCATGCCAACCCCCGAACTTTTTGTTGACAAGGACCCCGGTCCGAGATTGAAGAACCCCCCCAACGGACTTCAAGAAGAGAAACCGCAGATTCATCTTTCCCACCAACACTTTTTTCTCTTTGCATCAGAAAATGTTATGTGGCGGTGAAATTGGAGATTTTGGCCGAGGCCCTCGTCAGTGACACACACCAATGAACTTTCATCAAACTCGAATAAATCAACTAGTTACTCCTCTGGCCGAACCCCTTCTTGCATCTCAATATTTGTCGGTTGGCATCAGGTTGCAGCCCACCTTAAAATCCCAAGTTTGGGCCGAACCTGACAGTCGAGGCAACCCGCAGCTCGGCGGTGGGTTCGTCAACCCCCTTGCCCCAGGTCACAGGGGCAAGGACAAATTCTGTCACTTGAGAAGTAAAACGTAAGGCCGCGGTCATGTCTCTAGAGTGCTATTAGCAGAGGCATTGGCTCGGCCAGAGCAGCATCTCTCACCTGAGGGGTGCGGTTGGATTGGGGAAAGGTTATGTGCGACTGGTGGTGTCATGGCCGAAACAAACAAGGGAGGATGGCGATTCCAGGCGGTGGGGCATGGGGACGTAAAAGAGAGCCGAACTGCTGAGCCGCGCCGAGTTTTGGCCACAGAGGGATGGATGGGAAAGGTAGACTGTGTCCGGGCAGAGAGAGGAAGAAAGTTTGCCCAAGAGGTGCCTCGGCAGGGCGGGAAGAGAAAGCCGAGCTACACAAAGGGCTGGATGACAGAAACGGAGATGTCATCCGCAGAACTCTCACAGACTCGGGGGCAACGTCCATTTTCTCTCAGTCCGGCCAGAGAGAAAACCAGAATCAGCAAGAGCTTGCCGCTCGCCGGTTGCGGACCTTCGACCTCAGGTATTCGCCCTATCGTTCCCACTGAAGCCTTGGGAGCTGGTCCGGTATAATTACCTGCTGGGTGGACCTGTTAGCTGCTGTCAGTAAATGTGACGAAGACCAGCCAGAGCAGGACCGATATAAGATCTTGTTTACTTTTTCTCGTCCTTTTATTCTTGTCTCTCTCCTTGTTTCTCTCCGTATTTCTCTCCTTGTCTCTCTCCTTGTTTCTCTCCTCGTTTCTCTCCCTGTTTCTCTCCTTGTTTCTCTCCTTGTTTCTCTCCTTGTTTCTCTCCTTGTTTCTCTCCCCCAACTGGGTAAGTTTCCTCCCATCCTCCCATAAACGGATAATGCTTTGGCCACAGTTAATCAGCCAGACTGGAGACCTTATACTTCTCCATCCCTCCCCATCTACCCTTATTTCCCCACAGGCTTTGGACATGGCGGCGTCGGCCATAACCTCTTCCCCAAGAGAGACTCAGATACCTATCGAGTAGATCCCCAACGTGCTCGTCAGCAAGTACAAACTCCTAGACACTAACCCCATGCCCCCCGAAGATATCAACGGAGACGGTGGACTGGCCAGTGATTATGGAAGATCCGAGTGAATCTTACCGATAATTGGTCCCCGGAAACTGGTTGGAAAGGCGACACTGCCAGATGACATGGCAGATGAGATAACTCAGCTGAAGCCCCGACTTTGCTAACAAACCTTGCTTTGACTGGACCGGAGAACACGCCAACGATAACTACCGTATTTGATAAGCGGGCCGTGGTTACAAGCGAGTCGTGGGTTCAGGTATTTTTTTGCGTGTGCTAGGACGAAGAAGTACCTAAAAATTGTTAAAGCGCCCTAACAATTTTTAGGTAGTTAGTTACTTCTTCGTCTTAGCAAAATAGAACCCACGACTCGCTTGTAACCACGGCTCGCTTATCAAACACGCTAGAGGCTCCAACAAGCCAAGAGAGGCCCTCCCCCAGAACTCACATGCTGGGGATGAAAGGGACGCTATCGTCACCAAAACCGCGACGCCGAGAAGGAAGCCATAGCCCCCACCAGCCTCTCCCCCTACCCGTGCCTAGAACCGGTATACCAAGCTCAGCTGAGATGCTTCAGCTCATATCACCCCTCGAATGGGCTGGGGCTTGGGTTAACTGGTATGTTGTCCATATCGAACGCCTCTTAGAGAAAGCAGGGGAGCGACACCTCTCCAGCTATCAAACAAGTGATACCGTCAGACGGGCTTCCTCCACCTTCCCCCCCCAGACGGTGCAGTGAATCATGTGCACCACCGCTGAGTCACGATATTCATGCTGCATGTCTTAGCGTCACAATGTGGAGTGACATGCGTCCAGGAAACCTTGAACTCAATTCAACGATACCCCTTCGACAAACCCTGACAGCGGAAATATGCAGAAACCTGTGCATCCATCATGACAATAAAGCTGTAACGCCTCTATCCTCCACCAGGCCCGCTCCGAAGAATCCTCAACACCCCCGCAGAAAACACAACAACACCAACAACTCAGAAAGCAAAACAAAACAGGCATTCCCCTCAAGCAGCGACCTCAAAGCGACCACGACACCTCGTGCGTATCGTCCCACTCCTGGGACGCGCACAGGCCTGGGATCTGGAACTGCTTGGCTCCGAGGATGCCGAGCGAACCCGTCGTGCGGGTCGCCCACGCCTCGTCGAACCAGACGTCGGTGAAGGAGGGGAAGCTGACGAGGCCCGAGCCGTAGTAGGGGCGCTCGACAACCCAGTCAGCGTTGACCCGGGCCAGCGTCGGGCCGTTGGTGATGGAGAGGGTGTAGGAGTGGCCTTGGGAGAGGTTGATGATTGTTCTGGGGGTGTCAGTGGGCATTTCTGTGTGGGGGAGGGGGAGGGACTGACACTTGGGCGGCTGTGGTGGAGGTGGTGTTGATGGTTATGTCAAACCAGTCGTCTGGTTGAACTGAACGGGGGTAAGGAAAGTTAGTGGACACAACGTCAGGGGAATAGTAGGAACAAGGACATGCCTGGCATGGAGGAGATGGTAAAGGCAGCCGAGGGGACCCATTGCCACCAGACTTCATGGCTGGAGAGCTGTTAGCTGACTGCCCGGGTTGGAGTATTCAAGCTGCGAGGGTCACTAACACGATGGCGCCGTTACTAGAAATCTGGTGGCCCGGTTAGCATCCCCGCTCAGCACGATACATTACAACTACACACCTTGCACACTGTCCCCGACTGCAGCAGCGCCGACGTCCACGAGTCGCCGTCGATGCCCACCCAGTTCGCGGCGGCTTGGGGAAAGGTGGTCACACCGGCCCGCGGGCTGCAGGTGGGGTGCTGGAAGGCGCCGTGGACGACCTTGATGGGGTTGTTTGACGGCGTGGTGTTGACGGAGCCGCACCAGTTGGCGCTGGTGGCCGAGGGGTTGGCCCGCCGCATCTTGGACGACGACCTGCCCGGGGGCCCGGGTGGCGGTGTACCGTGACCGTGGCCTATCCGGCTACGGCCGAACTCGAACGGCACCAGCTTAATCTCGGACTGCGGGATCCGGACGCCCTTCCGTGTGGCCTCAACGGTGAAGGAGAGGTCTGCCAGGGCCTGGTGGGCCACAAGGGCCGAGCCGAGGAGCGTTGCAAGGGTCCACCGCATGGTGAGACGCAAGGGAGATCGGGGTGGTCGTTTAATCTATGAGGTGGTATAAGAGGTGAGGATGTGACAGGGGTTTGGGTGAGACGAGGTGGTGATGGAGGGCGGGGGAGAGGATGGGCGAGGTAGGAATCTCTGGGACCTACCTATGGCTGGGTTGACGTGCGCTTATCTACTCCTCGAGAGACTGGATGCCTGGGAGGATCTGGTTGTTCATCTCCGCACGAGCTGCGGCAGGGTTACTCAAAACGGGCTGGCCTGGCGGTGCACAAGTGACAGCTGGGCAGAGGAGTTAGAGAGAGGAGATGCCCCCAGACCCCGTCGGGCAGAACCGCGCAACCGCTCGTCGACTTGGAAGCTGACGGCGATATCAGGGAAGTGGGTGGTATTGCAGGCTAGCCTTTCCCCATTCGTGTGTGTTGTTGTGGGCTCCTGCCCGAGAGGGAGTTGTGCTGCTGTGTTTCCCCACATGGGACGAGTGCGTGGGCGTCAGACAGGGTCTCTCGACGTGATTATGTATGGGAGGGGCGTATGTCCGAGACGCGGGCCACGAGGGGGGGAGGGGGGGTAGGTGTGGGTGAGTGAGTTTAGGAAGCGAGGGGTGGTCAGAGTAGGCGGTGGGGGAGCGGGTGGTTGGCGCGTGTCGTCATGTGCTTTGCCATAGTTGCAATATTCGTCCGTGTAGTAGGAGTCTGAGAGAGGATTGGAGGGGATGGGGGCGGGACAGTTGCGTTTTTAGTCTCCCTCTGTCAAATCCCGAGACTCTGGTCTGCTTGCCATCGGTTCCATTGCTCCCCTCCAGGGCCAGAAGCTTCGACATCCAATCTTACCAGGTCTAATTAACAGGCCTTCCTAGTTGACGGTTCATAAAGATTCCCGAGCCTGCGGACCGATCCCACGGAGCCTTGGAGCGTAGGTCCCCACTTGTGGTCCTCCGTCCCTGCTTCCCGGCCGCCCTAGGGACTCAGCCAGATTGACCCCAGACACTAACACCTTGGTTGCGTAGCATGCCAAGGCGAGAACCGTGCCGCACCGTTCGCGTCAGCCGGACAATCTGGGGGCCATTATCAATGGTACTATGACACATGGGAACAGGATAGGGCAGAATAGGCCCGGCAGTCTGCGCAAGCGTGGCGTGTATGCCGGGCGGGTCTCGCTGCTATTCCAGCATGGGCGAAGTTTGTTCCGAGGCGAGCAGACCGAGACCGGCGGAGACCAGGGGGAAGCGAGGTCATCCAACGACCAAGACACTGGCACATAGTTGTTCTCCGTACATACGCAGTAGTGGTAGCAGTAGTAGGGTTGCAGCGCCCGTGCTAAGCGTGGGGTGCGGCAGGGCTGACGAGAATGCTGGGGCTTTTTACCCGCTCTCATCCCACCCTTTCTACGCGCTATTGGCGGCCTGCGTCATGACGGCCGAGCTTCTGCTGCTGCCAAGGGCTTGTGCGGGGTCATTTGCATCATGGC